ATAAGAAAGAAGTGTAATATACATACGAATAGTGAAATAAGGGTCAACCAGCCACCCCTGCAGATGTTAGCACTCTTGGATCCAGCCTAATACTATATTGGTATTATTACTATTATTGTGAGTATTATTATTATTAGCAGCAGTAGTATTAATGATTGTAGTCGAGTATTGTTACAGGTTACCTTTGACATACTGCTTCTTGGAGTAGCTGTTGCCACGGAGAAGGTTGAGTCACTGTTATTTGATCGAAAACCTGAGGAACAAAGCAATGAACAGCTAGTTGATGTTCTTCTCATATCAAGAAGGATATCTTAGACAGCTTTAAAGTTTCAGTCCATCCAAAATTTTGGTTCTGCATGGATTCTGGTCTCTTGAATCACTTTGCAACGTTTAATATAAATGAAGGACTCTGGTAAACAGGTGCAGGAACTGCCCATCATGGACCAAGTATGGGCCAGTACTGAGAATTATAATGGAAGGCCATTTCATAAAGGAGAATGCAATGAAACAAATCCTTACTTCGTGCTACTGACAGTGGTTCGGCTGTGTATGCATAATTATGTTCTCCGAGGCTGACTCTGTCAATGGTTCGGAGATTACTGACATCCCGCTGTGGTGCCCTCCTAGGAGACAACAATTAAACATGTATATGATCATCATGCACTTAGACAGCACAATTTCAGCAAACAAGAAACATAAGCAATCTCACCATATATGATTTAAAGCAGCACCCAGAGGACATTGAAAAATCACCCCCCACCCTGGTGACGCAGGGTGGGTTTGGGTACTCTACTTGAATGTCCCCTGATGGAATAAAGTTGTATCTGGACTACTTTGTTTGGTGTTGCACTTCAATTCCTACATTTCCTGTGTTCACTGTCAAGCCAAGGATACTTTGGATTGCGGAAACTTCTTACCAGTTAGCCATATCACCCATATTCACATCACTTAACTACTGTTGAATGAGAATAACCGCATGGGTCCCTGCATTCCTTGACCCAAGACCATTATAGCTTCCCTTAAAACATAAAAAGCCAATGTACAAAAAGGATGGTGTGGGTTTTCGCTCTTTAAAATACTGCCAGATGGCGCTGGAGATGTGGAATGGAAGAGGGCACAATGCTGCACATATGGTGGACTTGCCATGGAATAAAGCCCTACTGGAAAACTATATTTGAGCTAGCTGGCAGAATTATGGGCACAAAACTATCTGAAACCCCAGAAGTGGCACTACTATCAATGCTTCCGGGATCAGTGAAAAGCATAAAAGGGGGACTGGCGTGCCCCATATTGGAAGCAGCATGGGCGATAATCCCAAGATACTGGAGGCAATTAAACACCCATGTGATCCGGAAATGGGTATTAGAACTGAACCATATAATGCGAATGGAAGAATTGACAGCTCGTGTATATAATAGACATGTGATATTTGTAGAAAAATGGAGACCATGGATGGCTTTTATTGGCTCAACAGAGATTCAACAATACTTATAAGAAATTGAGGAATTGCATATTTCCTCTTTCCCCTTTCTTGTACATATTTTTTTTTTTTTTTTTAGAGGGAGGGAGGGAAGGAGTTTGGATATAGGGGAGGAGGGGAGGGGTGGGGAATGGATGTAGGAGTGGGTATGATAGGTTTTTATGAATAAACAGGGTGGCATTTCAGACAATACAATGCCTTTTACCCTTTCTTTTCATGGTTAGATAAGCAATGGTGAAAGGTTAGTTTACTATCCAATCAATCACAAGTATTAGTTTTTTTTTCCATTTCTTATGACTTACTTTTCACCTGTAATTAAGAAGTAATTCTAGATATGAAATAGCCATGTATGTAGACGTTATTGGTATTATGATGTAATTTATGAAATTGTATGTGAAATGAAACTAATAAAAATGTATTCTGGAAAAAAAAAATACTGCCGGTTGGCATTAATTGTGAGGGTTAAAAAATGGAACCATTTAAGGCATGTCGGCACAAAGTAGTGACCCACAACTCCTTGTCACTGCTTTTGATTGGGAGCTGGAGATGGGCTCCCAATCATGTGATCCCTGTGATGTCACAGTGATAACATAATTTGAAACCCATCCATGGCTCCTGACCGGGAGCTGTTGGTGATAGCCAGGTCACTGAGCTGGGAACGTGCAGTGTGTGCTCCTTCGGCACAAGGACACATATATGTGGCAGCCGGTCATTAAAGCCCCCCTTCTTCCCGCCACATACACACCGATCAGCCATAACATTATGACACTGATAGGTGAAGTGAGTAACATTGATTATCTGGTTAAAATGGCACCTGGAAGTGGGGGGACTTATATTAGGCAGCAAGTGAACATTTTTTCCCTGAAGTTGGTGTGTTGGAAGCAGAAAAAATGGGCAAGCGTAAGGGTTTGGGCGCCTTTGACAAACGCCAAATTGTGATGGCGAGACAACTGGGTCAGAGCAACTCCAAACCTGCAGCTCTTGTGGGATGTTCCTGGTCTGCAGTGGTTGCAAAAGTTGACTTAGCCTCCAAATTCTCCAGATCTCAATCCAATCGATCATCTGTGGGATGTGCTGGAAAAACAATTCTGATCCATGGAGGCCGCACATCACACCTTACAGGACTGAAAGGATCTGCTATTGACAGCTTGGTGCCAGATACCACAGCATACCTTCAGAGGTCTAGTGAAGTCCATGTCTTGACTGGTCAGGGCTGTTTGGGGGTAAAGGGGGGACCTATTCAATATTAGACGGATGGTCATAAAGTCATGGTTGATCAGGGTATGGGTTGGGCTGGCAGGAAGTGGTAAAGCTAAAAATATATGTATGTTAATTGACCTATTGCAAGATAAACCAACAGATGCCATTTCTACGCAGAAAATGCGCTTGTGTATAGGCAACTTTTTCGGTATGCGCACAAGCAACTAGGACACAGCTGCCCTACTTATACAGCGGCAATATAAATATCGCCGCTGACACGTTAGAGGGACTTCCACAGGCAGCTATGACTCTTTATGTCACCGCCACATTACCGGCATGAGCGCTGACAGCTCTATGTGGCTTCCTAAGCAATACGGCCATATATAATATAATATCAAGCATGTTCTCGGGGTAAATTACACCAACGGCAATATCTGACGCTCCCGGCAGGATGATGAGAGGGGGCTTACCATGCATCACTTTGATAGCCGGTCTCTGCAAAGAGACAAAAACAGATGTCAGCATGGCAGGGAAAAAGATTATTATCACAAAGCTATCAACTAGACGGAGCCATTCACTGTGTAATGTAGTGGACGGAAGGTGAAGTCTGCATTGAGCGCGGGAGTCATTGTTAAAGGTACACTCCATTCAGAGCCTTGAAATGCAAAAAGAAGACACAACCTACCTGCTGCATCACTTATACGGGCAAGTTGTAGGGCACCACACCACTAATTGAAGAGAACCTGCCGCCAACCTAAAAAATTGCAGGTAAATATCTTTTTTTTTAATGCTTACATGCAGCATTTTTCCTTTCCATGTGCGTCTGAAGCAATGTGCATCTGATCTTGCTAGATTTTGCTATTTCAGAACTGTCAATTCGCTAACACAGGCCCCTCCCTACTTGCACGTCATAGCCCTCTCCTCTTCTGGTAGTGTATAATTACTCTCTATGCTGGCCCAGCTCCTTTGCCCATCCCATAAACTCGCTACATAACCTTTGATTTAAATGCTGGGGAAGGAATGAAGGAGAATACTATAATCTGTCACTTGAGTGACAGCTGTGAGTCTGCTGGGTCTGCTGAAATCATATCCAAGATGGCATATCCAAGATGGGTCATAGGCCCCTGATATCTACCTTTTAAAATAGAAAAAGAGATTGAGGGCAATCAGTCTATTTTTCTGCAGTCCCAGCACTCAATGGAGAGGAAGCTCTCAGTACAGAGGCTTCCTGTTCATTCACAATCTGGAGATAGTAAATCTTTACTATCAACCCAGTCATGAACGGGCAGGAAGCCTCTGTACTGAGCTGCTTCCTGTTCATTCATAAAGTGAGCAGATGGTAAATAATGACTATGTTCCCATTCATAAATGAACAGGTATTGATGTATAGAACTTACTATGCCCTCAGTTATTTACAAACACTGAGTGATGAGTACTTCTCATCCCCGCTGGGCGCTGGCAGCTGAATCGGCTCTGTGTCCCCTCTGATCCCCTATGCCACTCATGACACAGACGGGGGAGAGCAACAGGGATCGGAGGGGACACAGACCAAAGCCTGCAGCGGGTACCCAGCGGGGAGGAGAGAAACATGGAATTAAATGAATTTTTGTGCCTTTTTTTGTACCATTTTCAGCTGAAATATTTTGGTGGCCAAAATTTCGGTGCATCCCTAAAAATGAGTACTTAACCCTTGCACTGCAAGGGTAAGTTTATGATTTTTCCAGAGTTTGTCTTTAAGCAATTATCCTTACAGCATACTTATTATTAGGTATATCGGTATAGATGCCGAGTATATGGGCAAGTACTCGTCACTTTTGACAAGGGAGCATGGAGCCAGCTTCTTGACCAATCAGGAAGCCGGGCAGTGTATAATGACTCCCTGCCTGGACCTCGTCAACCTGGTGACAACGAAGCATGGAGCCATCTTCCTGGCCAATCAGGAAGCCAGGCGCCATGTAATGTCGTGGCGCTCAGCTTCCTAAATGGGCGGGAAGCCGGCTCCATGCTTTCTCATCACCTGGCGAGGAGGAAGCATGGAGACAGCTTTCCTGCTAATCGGGAAGCCAAGTGGCGAGTCATTACACAACACCTGGCTTCCTTAACGGGTCTTCCGGTATGGTATTTGGTATCGGCGAGTACCAACAAAAAATATCGGTACTCGTACTCGATACCGAAAGACCGGTGCATCCCTACTTATTGTACAATGTTGTCTTTTGTTCTCCTTTAAATTCTAGTAAACAGAAGAGTTTATTATCATGTGAAACTTTGCAGAAAAATACGGCAGAGGAAATAGCGTTCTTTAGAAATGCATGTTCTCCCTTTATGTTGACAACGCTGAAAAGGAGAAGAAAATTATTTAAACAACGAATGACCTTGTTAGAATATGACCCAAATCTGTGCAGCTTGAGTGCTCCTCTTTATGTGGCTCTCTGGTTGCCGCGCTGCAATAAGGCTTTGATTAAACAAATTTTGCATGGAAGCCGCCGTTCCATTACAGATAATGGCTTTCCTAAAATAATACTCAGGCTCGTTCTTCTGGTATCGGGAGGGAGAGTATAACAAGGACCACGCTGCTCATACCCCTACCTTTCTTTTTCTTCTTCTTCTTGCAGCAGAATATCACTATAATGGCGATGAGGACAATCAGGAGCAGGAGCCCTCCAATCGATGCAAAGACAGCAATGAGGATAATGGCCGTTTGGCTCAAGCCAGAGTTAGAACCTGGAAAGAATGAGAATGACATGTATGACTAAAGCCACATTCAATATTTAGAAGTGTTGTGGTTGGCTCAAACATTCCCATACCAAACAGTCTGGGTGTAGGAACAAGCCAAGTTGTCTTTGGAAAATGTGGTTTCATGGTGAAATTGACAACTTGGCAAAGCCCAAATTTCTTTGACAATGGCTACCTAATTTTCCCTGTAGCAGGTTAATATAAAAAGTATACTTTACATCTAGGAGTGAGACAACAAAAATCCTTTTAATTCGTATTTATTTGGTGTATTAAAATTTAAATCTGCGCTAATGACGTCCAAATAAAACGCTATATTTCACCAGCTGCTGTGTAAACCTATCGCCAAATGGTGCCAACACAGCAGTCAGACAGCACTATTGGTAATTAATATGTAAAAACCTCTAGTAATAATATTTAATACATCACTACAACTTAATTAGTAACAAATAATAATAATCTCATCACCCATCACACATGTGAATCCATATTATAAAATCCCAGTGTCCATAAGGTCCACATTATTTATTTTGTTATAGTGATGTACAACCCCAATTCCAAAAAAAGTTGGGATACTTTGTAAAATCTACATAAAAAGAGAATGAAATGATCTGCAAATCTCATAAACTCAGATTGTATTCCGAATAGAAAATAGAAAACATATCAAATGTTTAAACTGAGAAAAATGGACCATTTTTTGGGGGAAAAAGGGTACTTTTGAAATTGATGGCCTCAACACGTCTCAAAAATGTTGGGACAGGGCAACAAAAAGCTGGCAAAGTAAGTGGTACTAACAAGGAAGAGCTGGAAGAACATTTTGCAGCTAATTAGGTTAATTGGCAACAGGTCAGTAACATGATTGGGTAGAAAAAGAGCATCTAAGGCTGGGTTCACACCTAGGCGTTTTGAATATGCGAGTTTGTCGCGTGTTTCGTGTCGCGCGATTCGCGGTAAAAAACGTGCGACAAACGCGCGTTTTCGAGGGCTACCTGGCTGTATCCCAATGGATATGCGCGACAAAAACGCCCCAAAGAAGCTCCTGTACTTCTTTGGGCGTAGGGCGTTTTGTAGCACGTTCATACGGCCTGTAATACGCCCAGGTGTGAACCATATACATAGGAAATAATGGGATTTCGGTGTTTGAGCGTTTTGCAGAGTGTAGGAACGCGCTACAAAATGCCCAGGTGTGAACCGGGCCTTAGAGAGTCTTAGAAGTATAGATGGGCCGAGGTTCAACAATCTGTGAAAAGCTGCATCTAATAATTGTTGAACAATTTCAGAATGTTACTCAACGTAAAATTGCAAAGACTTTAAATATATCATCATCTACAGTACATGATATCATCAAAAGATTCAGAGAAGAAGAAATCTCTTTGTGCAAGGGACAAGGCCGAAACGCATTATTGGATGCACGTGATCTTCGGGCCCTCAGGCGGCACTGCATTAAAAACAGTCATGATTCTGTGATGGACATCTCTGCATGGGCTCAGGAATACCTCCAAAAATCACTGTCTGTGAACACAGATCGAACTGCCAGCCAAAAATGCCAGTTAAAGCTCTATCATACCAAGAAGAAGCCATATCTGAACATGATCCAGAAACGCCGCCTTCTTCTCTGGGCCAAAGCTCATTCAAAATGGTCTGTCACAAAGGGGAAAACTATTCTGTGGTCAGACGAATAAAGAATTTGACATTCTTTTTGGCAACCATGAGCACTGCATCCTCCAAACTAAAGAGGAGAGGGACCTTCCGGCTTGTTATCAGCGCTCACTTTAACCAGTTGACATCCGCGGTGTTAAACCCCCTTCCCATCCAGGCCAAAAGAATGCTTTCAAACCTGAGACAGCTGGAGCACTTTACTCAAGAAGAGTGGGCCAAACTATCTGTAGGTTGGTGCAGAAGTCTCTTTGAGAGCTACAGAAATTGCTTGTTTGCAGTGATTGCCTCTAAAATATTTGTTTTATTATTTAAGTATTCTGTTGAATCAAAAATCAAAAGCAATGTCTAATTTGTATTAAATATGGAATAAACACCAATAAATCTGTCCCCATCTGTAAATCTATATAGAGAAAGGATTTCAGCACAAATTTTTTACTGGTCTTCTTTCTCTTTCCATATTTCACAGGTAGGTGACCAGACCTCGTAAGTCTCCTCCACCTCAGTTCTTCTCATCTCTGTGTAACTTTGTAACCTATTATAACTGTTTTTTTAAACAAGTATCCGCTGGTGTGGTTGGCTTACCACAACTACACCTTGACATAAATTGTTTTATTCCCAGTACTTTCTAATTCTCTGTAAATGGTTTCCAAACTCTCCCCTGTGCTTCTAAATGGCTAAAATACTTTCAACAGTCGGCTATAAAGATTATTTATCATTTGCAAAAAAAAATATACTGATATAACGATCTCACTTCAAAGAGAAATGTACCGCAGGACTCTATTAGGAGTATTCCCACGGGTACTATTAGTTTAAGTTGAACTCTGGGCACAAAAACTCTCTTTATCTCTCCTGCCTCCTATTTCTTATTTCATTCTCCTCTCTCTCTCTCTCTCTCTCTCTCTCTCTCTCCTCTCTCTTCTCTGTCTCTCTATCTCTCTCTCTGCTGTCTCCGCTGTCTCTTATTTCTATTTCTCCCTCTAACTCTCTCCTCTCTCTCTCTCTCTCTTATTTATTTGTATCTTTCCCTTGCAGTTCTCTCTCTCTCTTCTTTCTCTCTCTTTCTCCTTATCTCTCTCTTTCTCTCTCCTTTGTCTCTCTCTCTCTTTTTGTCTCTCTTCTTTGTCTGTGTCTCTCTCTCATTCTCTTTCAATTTCTCTTTGTCTTTTTCTCTCTCTTCCTTCTCTCTCTTTCTTTCTTCTCTCTCTCTCTCTCTCTCTCTCTCTCTCTCTCGCTCACACTCTCTTCTTCTTTCTCTCTCTTTCCTTCTTCTTTCTCTTTCCTTCCTTCCTTCTTTTTTCTCTCTCTCTCTCTTTCTTCTCTCTCTCTTTCCTTCTCTCTCTCTTTCTTCTCTCTCTCTTTCTTCTCTCTCTCTTTCCTTCTCTCTCTCTCTTTCTTCTCTCTTTCTTCTATCTCTCTCTCTTCTTTGTCTCTCTTTCCTCTCTCTCTCTTATCTCTCCCTCTCTTTCTCTTCTTTGTCTCTGTCTTCTTCTGTCTTCTTTGTCTTTCTCTCTTCTTTGTCTATTTCTCTCTCTCTTTTCTATGTTCCTGTCTTTCTCTTTTCTCTCTCTCTCTCTCTCTCTCCTTTGTCTCCCCCTATCTCTTCTCTCTCTCTCTCCCTTTTGTCTGTCTTCTTTTCTCTCTCTTCTTTTGTATTTCGCTCTTTCATCTTCCTTTCTCTCTCTTTCTTGCTCTCTCTTTTCTTTGTTTCTCTCTATCTCTCTCACTTTTCTTTGTCACTATCACACTCTTTTTTGTCTTTCACTTTTTTCTTTGTCCCCCCTCTCTCTCTTCTTTATCTCTCTCATTCTTGTTGGTCTCTCTCTCCTCTCTCTCCCTCTCTCTCTCCCCTCTCTCTCTCTCTCTCTCCTCTCTCTCTCTCTCT